ATTTAAAAGCGAAGGAAAGCGAGGAAAAGAGGGAACGCCCCGCGTATTACCGGTATTACCGGTGTTGTCATACGTCGATTAACCGGTGGGAAAATTTCCTCACCGTCACAACCCTAATCTATAGTTGGAATCAAACTAGTTAAGTAAAAAATGTTAATTGCATTATGCCAAATATACAACTGACAAAACAGTGGGGTACAAAAGCCTGAGACCACTATTGAAAATGATTTCGCAACATTTTCTAACAGTAATAATAGTACTAAATAATAAAGTTATACATTAACTGACATTTGATTAACAACCTAGACTCTTACATACTCTGGGTAATTCTACATTCTATCTGAAAAATAACACCAAAGTGTACAATGATCCTACCGTTCACTTCCTAGCTACTTGTACATTTCACAACTGCAAGTTCAGTTCTATCTAGGATAAATGTAGACCAATGAACAATGAAAAAGCTAAAATCATTTGCCAATTACTGGTAAATGCCACAATACAGTCAAAACAAATAGTCAATCTGCTTAAGGGCTAAATAAAACATCCATAAAAGCAATAAAATCAAAATAGAAACCATGCCATTTCAACATCAGTAAATAAATGAATGGCACTGTTTGATTCAACTGCAAATTCTAACTGGAAGAAATATCTGCGTCTAGTCCCCACACAGATGAAAACAATGATCTATAAAAAGATGCCCATCAAAGGACACATCTGAGCGTGTTACCTTAGCGACAAGCATCTGTTGCTGGGCCTCAATTTGCTGCTGCTGACGAGTGGCCATCTCCTGTAGCTCTGAGAGAGTGAGCTCCACACGAGGGTTTCCCACCTACACACAGGGAGAGAGAGAGAGAGAGAGAGAGAGAGAGAGAGAGAAAGAAAGGAGGGGCAGTCAGGCCAAAAACAAAATATATACACACAAACAAGGATTCAAAGATGACTGGTTTAATTCCACAGCCATAAATGACACAGAAGACTGTGAGAAACAGACATAAGCATGTATCTGCAGGGCTCATTGTAGTGAGAACTGGGTATGAAATGACCTGTGGCCAAGTAAACACTCGGAGCTTGATTATCGCAGGAGTGCCAATGTTAGTGTAGACCTGCTAAGCTCATCGGGAAGAGGAATGGTGACGCTTTTAGCCAAAAGGGTCTAAAACAGGCCTGTGTCGGAGATCCATCCCAGAATCCCACTCTGTCACTCTGCATTCTGAAAGATAAGAGCAAGTTGTCTGTCTCCACAGCTGTCGCCATAGCAGCAGAGTAGAACTGCCGTGTAGCAAAGATTAAAGGCACCAAAATACTCAGATGGCAATTGCTGTGATAGTCTGGCATTTAGAGCAATCAAGCAGTACTGAGGTCGATTCAAGGCGGCACGGTACATGATGTGAACATGGAATATAAAACACAGTTCTGAAATAAAGAGAAGGCGTGTAGGATGACTCACTCAAACCTGAAGCAGAACACCATTTACAACCTGGTTCATGCTGTGCAAAAGTTCCCTTGAAATTCAAATCTTCAATTGTCTGTGGCAATATAGCAATACTTCCATTTTTCCAAAAAAGCCAGCAGTCTGTTTTGTCTCTGGGCTGTCCTAAGCAAAAGCCATACAAGTGCACTCATACACTGTTTAAGGTTGAAGCTGGGCCAGTCATTAAGGTTATGTAAGGACTAGGGGCAATCAGACATAAGTTGGAGTCAAATACGTTCATCAATTTTGCCAGTATGTTAACTACAACATGTCAAAATTACACATTTGCTGGTATTTAGTTAGCAACCTAAAAACTTAAATATTTCAAGTTTTAGAATGACACTTTTTCAAAATAATTTAATTCCAATAAAAAAAAAAACCCACTATGCACTACTTATCAAAAGTTTAGGGTAAGATTTTCTGTTAATGTTTTTGATATTTTCTTATGCTCACCACGGCTGCATTTATTCGATCAAAAATACAAAACGTAAGATTACTTTTTTATTTTTAAAGGGGTCATATGATGCGATTTAAATTTTTCCTTTCTCTTTGGAGTGTTACAAGCTCTTGGTGCATAAAGAAGATATGTAAAGTTGCAAAGACTAAAGTCTCAAATCCAAAGAGATATTCTTTATAAAAGTTAAGAGTCAGCCACGCCTACCTAAAACGGCTCGTTCTAACCCGCCCCCACATATCTACGTCGCTATGTGGGAAGATTTGCATAACACTGCCCAAATGTTCACGCAAAGAAAGAAGGCGTAACTTTTATTCTCGCTGTAGTTTTGTTGTTTCCGCCGCCATGTCGTAAAGACGCTGTGTGCTTCGTTGTGAAAGCGAAACTACTTTGTTTGGTCTTCCAAAAGAGGACGATATCTGCTTCGTCATGCCTGGAGCTGATCCGCGCTGGTTGCTGAGGAAATACTACAACTTTGCGCTGTCGATCGCCGGATCGGCTTTCACCGTGGACAAAGCGGAGTCCAGCCCGGAGTCGTCACATGTCCTTCCGGACGCT